CTTTTAGCATTTCTCCGTAGCCTGCGTCGAAGTCAGCTTTCTAAACAATCTTGACCGCGTTCAGAATCCCCTGGAGTAATGTAAAATTCATTTTTTGCCCCGGACATCGGTGCTCGCCGACCCGTTTTGCAATTTCGCCCGCCATCCTCTCTTTCGTTCGTCTCTCTGTCCGCGATTTCACGCGGATTTTAATCGTTTCCGATGGCTAACGTACACGCGAAACGAAACGCGGACGCGCGCGCTCCTTCGTATAAGGAATCCGAATTACGTCGAGGTGAAAGTGGCTCGAATCGCGAAATCGTTCCCGCAAAGTTCCGATGCACACATGGCGGTTCTCGGCAGGGACACGGAGGATCGTCGTTTCCCTCGTACGAGTCCGTAAAAGAGGAAATTCGGCTCGTAAAGTACATTCTAAACGACTCTGAAACGAGTCGTTGCTCGCGAGCTGTCGGCTAGGTGTTTACGTAACGCGCGTTAATGAATAATCAGTGTTAGAGTAGATACAATCGATCGCGTTTGCCCACGAACGGTGGTTCCGTTCTTACGAATGGAATTCGAGTTACAACCGAGGAGAAAGTGGATCGAATCGATTCTTACGAATTCTAGTCGCGCGATGTGCACCGTGCACTTTTGGCGAAGGATGCGGGAAGAATGAATTTCAATAGTTGAATGGCGAGGTAAAATTCTTTGGCTAGTGACAAGTGTACAATAGTTGTATTCCGAGTACACCTGGATCCATGCAACGTAGAGTTTACTTTCCTGAAATGGAATCCATAATCGAAATCGCTCTGATTGTGAGACTATGAAGACAGAAGGTAGTCCAACGATGATTTGAGAATCAGCTAATAATAGGAAAAGAAAGAAATACATATGCAAACACATACGAGTGAATATATGTGAACAATATACGCAAACAATATACAGAGTAGGCACCATATATTGTCATCTAGGTACACGTCATTATTATTGCGCATAGCGAAAAATGTTTCGAATGAAGTTGAATGGTTTTGAGAGAGACATGTTCTGATGGTACTAGGTTTTGTAGATGCACGTGTAAAGGACATATGAAGGTCATTAATATTTGTTTAAATGGAATTATATTTTTTATTACATCAGCTGATGCTTATTCATATTCTTTACAAAAATTTATGTTAAAAAATCATTAGTTCAGGAGATATCTCTCAAAACCTTTCAACTTCATCCGAAACATTTTTCGCAAATGACGTATATCTAGATGACAATATAGCTAGTGATCCACCCTGTATAAATATACAGTATGTATTACTTACCATTGACCCTTGACCGTTGGCCATCCCCTTGGCACTAGCAACCAGGTCCACAGAGGACGATCCGTCTAGTCCGAAGAGAAACCTGCAAGAGGTTTTAAACGATCACCGGGTATATATATAGCCGAGGATCGACCGAAGATCGACGAAAAGTCACGATCGTTAATGATGTGTCTTCTATAATCAAGATTTTTTCGTTTCTATTATAAATTCATGCTTTCAGCAATTTGCGATTAACAATTTTAATTTGTTATTAACGATGATTATGATAATTTGTACACGTTTCATAAATTAAAATTCCACTCGCATCTGCATATGATAAATTTCCGTGATACGTACATGCATGTGGAAATATTTTGATTTCCCGTGTATTTTACTGAGAAATGGAAACATGGGCGGTGGGAAAAGCGGTCGCGATTCCGATAAATCGGCAAGCTCGCGTGGTAGCTCGTTTCGCTGGAAACGTCCGAGAATTTCGTCACGCGGCGAAAATAAACGGGCTCGAGCGGAACGGCGACGCTCGTATGCCCACGGAGAATTTGAGTTACGTCGCGGAGAAAGTGACTCGCGTCGCGGGACGATAATCGAGCCGATGCACGAAACGATTCTCACGACTGCGACGGGAATAAATCGTCGGGACGGTTATGAGAGAGAATATAAGTGCACACGTGTGTGCATTTTCGCGTTCGCGAGTGAGGGCGTAGGGTGCTTAGATACGCGTAACGCGAGGCGTCCCCTTGGCTCCGTAACAGAGAGAGGACAGGAAGAGATGGCTGATTCGAGATGCCCCACTTTCTCGCGATGCAATTAACGTGGCCCGCCGCGGCGATAACTGCATTATACGGGAGAGTGCAGCTACGGGGCTTCCCCCGTCTGGTTTCGCGATTGCATACGCTGATAGGCTGACGTCTCACGGACGATCGTCGATACCCGTGAATAAGAGCAAACGTGCACGATGTTGTCTAGATAGGTCCTTGGAATCGTGCAACTGCAAAAGCTGAATTATTAGAGCTGGTCGCGAGAATAGATTGCGAGCGGTGTACTTAGTGGAATTTAAATCGTGTGCGGTATTATTTGACACGTTTTCGCAGACTTTTATGCTTCGTTTTATTTTGAAATGAATAACACGAGCGTTCGAGTGCAACGATAGTGGTCGGAGACCAGATATATTGCGATTTCTGGTGTCACAGTTATAGCGGGTGACATAAGGAGGAGAAATAATTATTCCTACCTTTCCTTTATTATATTTTTCAGTTATATTCACGCTATAGAGTAGCTAGGGCGTGTTATATCATAACCTTTCCTGTTCGTCGTTAACCTATTTTCTTTCTTTTTAATTATAACTTATTGCGTGTTAACCTTCTTGACACTGTTTTTACACCTTTTCATATTTGTTATTTCTTTTTCAATTTATGGGTTAATTATGCGAATATTTCACGTTTTACATATCTTTTACCGAAGTACAAATCTGTAAAACGGGGTAACGTATTTTCATCGATTTTTATAGATCGTGCTATTTTGAAATGAATAATGCAAGGAATTATATTGAATTATATTATCCAGTGACAGAGAGAATATGCCATGCTATTTATTTGATTATCACTCGGTATGCTGTCGTTTATTTCTGATCAATAATGGTGGTCACCGCTTGATGACTAGAAACACCAAGTATATTTTACGTAAAATTTTTACGAATATAAAGAATTCCATTACAGTTGATCTTCGTTAAATAACATGGAAAAGTGCTTAATGCACGTATGAGTATTTTACGTTACAATTGCAGCTCGCGGATAAAATGTGAGGCAGTAAGTAGAAACGGACGGGTCGTCGTCAGACACGCTCACTGAACTTCTACTGCGATCGATGTGAGATTTGTATCATCTTGCAGTTCTCTATATAATTGTGGGAATTTGGTGATTGATCAGAGGAAAATCAATTTTAATTCTTCAACTAACACGATATATTTAACATATAAAATTCTCGATATTCTCTCTCATACGTTTACTTCTCTGCAATCCCATAGAGAAGGTGGAACTGTCAGGAGTATTTCTTTTTCTTTCTTTTATAAACCTCAATTTAGGTTAACATATTAGTTTTACATTAGTTTACTATATAAAATTTTATTTAGTCTTTGTGGAAGCATAAAATGAAATTTGTTGTATGCTTAATTTCCAATTCTTTAGGAAAGTGCATGCATCTAGATTTAGCTTTGCGACATTTAATTTTACGTTTAAAGGTAGTTGTCTAAATTCTCTCTCATACCTTTTCTCCTCTGCAATCCGATAGAAAAGGAGGAACTGCCAGGAATATTTCTTTTTCTTTCCTTTATAAACCTCAATTGAGATTAACATATTAGTTTTACATTAATTTACAATACATAATTCTATTTAGTCTGTATGAAAGCATAAAATGAAATTTGTTACATACCTAATTTCCAATTCTTTAGGAAAGTGCATGCATCTAGATTTAGCTTTGCGACATTTAATTTTACGTTTAAAGGTAGTTGTCTAAAGATAGCTTTATTCTTAACAGATTTTTTATTAAATCTGTTCTTTGGGAGTCAAATAACATGATTCATAACTTCGTTCTCGTAATCACGCTTACATTTCGCAATGACTGCGGTATTTACGCGTTCAAGGGAAGCAGGTAGATCATAATAATTTTCTCTGATGTTGCTTTTATCTATCAGAATACATTGCTGTCTAAAAATTCCAAAAATCGACCTTCAACAAAAATTTTAGTTTTCATAAGAAAGATACACACGGAAGATAAAATGTACAACACCTACAACACTCGTCTCAACTGCATCTCCTTTCTCTTGGAGGAAAATAATCACGCGTACCTAAGACAATATTCGTATTCATCAGTGGGCAGTCGAAACAATCTCCGCGTACGTGTGCTCGATCCCCTGATCGGTTTGATTCGACGAAACGGACCCTTGATGCGGTGGAACCGCTTAGAAGGCACGGCTCGGCGTGGCTCGCTGGGTGGTTAATAGTCGGCGGTCTGTGGCGTGCATGATTAGCGAGAAATTATATTTACGAGTGCACGTGGGCGGCGTGGAATAAAGTCGATCAATCGGCCCGCGAGGACTTCCGCGATGATCTTTCCGCGAGGGTGTGACGGGCCTGGTCGGCTCTCTTATCGATGATTTCCATCGCGTCTCTCGACAGGGATCGCGTAGAAACCCGAGCGGACCAGGCTGGACGATAAATTATAACGCTAGACACGGCGCGTGGACGAACTCGCCGCGTAACGCAATAGTTCCGACCAGCAATTGATGGACGAACGAATTTATCGCGCTCGCCGGAAGCGTTCCGTGAACATTCTTTATGCCGCGTTTAATTTCCGTACCAGCAAATGCAGTTTAATATTCCGCGAATTATCCGCCATTGATCGAACCTTCCGCGAGTTTTCGCGCCAATTTCCATCGCTGTTTATCGCGTATATCAATCGCGGCGTAAGGAAAGGTAGTATTTATTGGGCAGAGAAAATCCGCTCGTGATTAATTATTTTGTCAATTGACTTTTGCAATAGAAATCGCGTTTTTTGTTATCGTTCGAGTGAAAGCAACATGTGCTTAATGAACAGTGTCATATCAGAGAAAGAAACAATCGGGAACACAGAAGTGCATATACACTGGAAATACTTTCGAATGTAATCAATTAAATTGTCCGACTGATGCTAATATCTTTCCGTTATTCTATGTTTCAGGTGAGTGCCAAATTAATACGCGCTTAACGAGCTCCAATCAAACTAGCTTTAACAGAGCATCGCTTGGATCATCGCGGTAAGTAACGTTTCTCCTCACCACGTGTAACAAATATTCACTCTCATCGTACATAACATTCGAAACAGAAGTCAGACATTCCTTTTAGATAGAATAAAGTACTCGATTATTTACTCGCTTCGTTAACGTGCCTTTGTAGAATAGTTTCCCGAGGTCGAGGGTTCTGTCTTGGAACAGAAAATACTCCAAAGCTTCGTGGATTTATTCAATTATACGATTTTTCTTGAGTAGGGTCTACTGGTATAAATTTCTTAATACGAACAAAATGATTAAACGATTAGGCTCATTGTCGAAATAAATTAAAAATTTCGCATCTGGAAGAGTAGCATGTCCAGAAGATTATCAGTAGAACTACCGATCTTTAATGGGTACCTAACTATAACGTGCACAAGTTATAGTACTTTCAGCGATACGATGAATATGAGTGAATATATCGATTACAGTTCTTTCTTAATATGATTTGATACCAATTTTATCCTTAAAGCCGTATGTGTTCGGTGATTGCAAAAAGGAGAATTCTGGGACCAATCATTTTGACTGGGTTGGTAGTTCTAGTGTTATCTGAATCTTCTCATCGATTCGTAACTATGGAATCTTGGTATTAAATCGAAAGGGTCTAGAAGAGGTCTCGGTGTGCGAGATAGGTTCCTTCCTGAGGAGTCAAAAATCGATTTCCAACGATAGATAAACGACCCGACGATGTACGCAGAGCGTGCACCAGGCGTCGGTCGTGCAACGCGTCTAAAAACGGCGCTCGATTGACAAAAAGAGCCGACCTAACCGAAGCGGATAGCCCGCGTGGCGGAAGATACGCTCGAACGGATGCGTGGATCATCCGAGTGGAGACTTTCAGCATGATCCAACAAGGAGAAGAAGAAGAAGAAGAGGAGGGAGAAGAAGCGGAGGAGAGTCGACGCAAAGTCTCTCCTCTTTTCCGAGGGAAGAGGGCATCGCCCTGACCGTGACCTAGCCACCGCTCCTCGGGCGAACGCACACACGCACGACCGTCTACACACGTGTGAGCGGCCACACGGAGCCAGCCTAGGGTACTTCTTTCCTCTGGATCTCCGAACGGGTGTCGTGAAATTTCCTATTGGATTCAATCGTTTCTTCGTGTACCTCGAAGTTGGAATAAAGTCGTCGAAGGAGAGGAGAGGAAGTAGAGAGATTTCATATTTCGGAATTCAAACAGTAGTTTAACCCTTTGGGGTTCCATGTCGAATCTTCTTAATTTTTCTATGGAGGAATTTTGATTTTAATTTGGTAAAAATAGTATTAGCATAGATGTTCAAAAAATTTGAAAATGGAGTCGGATTTTTGAGTTCTTGAGTAGGAAAATGTGTCGCATGTGACTTCGATAGTAAATTAACCTCTTGTAATGACTAGTATAGCTCGTTGTGGATTTTCCATATCAAACCGCAAGGTAGTAAGAAAATTGTACTTAATATGCTTCGGTTATAAGTTTGCATCGTTCGAAATACGTCGATACGTTGCAAGTGATTTGCACAAATCCTGTAAGCTCCAACAATTTTATTACGAACGTGATAAATATCGCAAACACAGTTTTTCTTTCTTCCTTCAGTCTATATATCTTTCGTTCATTTTTAAAGAAAACGATACATTCGGAAAAATGTTAAATTCTCGAGAAAAATTTAGAATTTTCGTGGAACTTTTCTCATGATACTTTTATCGCTTCGGAAGAACACGCGTGCTACGTGTAATTTTTCTTTTTCTCTAGAAGTCTGATAGTTCGAGGCGTTTTATTCCCATCAGTGTATCCACGGAGGCACGAAGATAGTGTATACACACGTGATCACGCGAATCGTGACGAGGAGCGTGTCTATCGTTGCGTCTCGACCTCCCCGGGACACGTTATTCGCGTGTGTTGGCCACCAGCGTGATTCCGCCGGCAGCGAAATCAAGCCCCGATACCTTTGTCATTTTCCCTTCGAAGGGAAGAGAATAATCTGTGATTCGTGATGGACGTTCGGGTTCAACGTTCTATCCCGTATTTTCTTCTAAACGATACTCGATAATAATCTCGGAAAGTGTCCGTATAACGCGAATGCTTTTAAAAAAGAACGCGAATTCCTCGACCAGTAGAATGTGCCTGTGTATGGTCAGACCGAGGATAGAAACTTGGCGGGTATACACGGGGGGAATATTTCGTGCTGAAAACGATTCGAGGTACTAGTACGTAAATTATGCTCGCGGAAAACGATTACGTGGCCGGACAGATGTATTCAAAGTAGAATACGTTCGTATCTGGTCAGACAACAGATGGCTCAAGCGGTCATTGTTACCGTGACTACTGCGCCATGACAAAGCTGTAATCGTATTGCAATCGACTTATAACGATAAACATTATTCCCATTGTCCAACAGTCGGCCCTCTTATAACACGGTCTCGATATAACACGGGGTATTCCCTTGAGTTCTATTACAATAGTTTAAAGTTTCTCTTAACACGGCTTCGGTACAACACATTAGTTGCGTCGCGAAAGGGTTGATCGTATTGTTACGAGATTTTCATATCCACCCTGTATTTGTCTAAGTAACAAGAGTGAATCGTAACTTCTGGAAAAGAGTAATCCAACACCTTCCAAAATATTCGGACAAAATGACAATCTAGTTTACTATAAAAAGGGGTGTCTTCTATCGAAGTTCAGAGAGTCGAGTTGTCAACGTTCAATTGGGTTAAACTATCTCAACGACTAATTCAATGGAAATTTTCGGCAATCTAGCGATCGAACTCGTAGAAGAAGAATTCTAAACGCGATCTGTAACGGTATGTAGGAGATATCAGGTTGTAGAGAAGATACCACTCCAGATATTTCGTTTCCAAGAGGGAGGTTTAATTGTTAACTCGATGTGTTCGAGCTTGTTAGGAACTTTGTCGTCTCTGGTCTAGGCTCTTACGGTCCCTATTGATGAGCTGGTAACCTAGGGTGCTGGTCCTGTGGTTGGTATCCCCGTGGTCGCCGTTGCTATTGATAGGGTAGCAGGTAGAAGGACGACAGAGAAAGGTAGGGATGCGTTTCGTCCTTAGTGAACTCGTTAGTAAGGCTTTTTCCAACAGGCCCTGCCTTAAACGGGGATACTTAGGTGGCATAGGAACTTCTATTTAAGGGAATGCCGAGGATTCACCGAGGACTTGGGGGAAGTCCTAGAACCTCCTTCAAGTATTATTAGTGTTGAACAATCAGTGGAAAATGGGGCATGGTAATGAAACTATCTTTTACTTCTGCATCACGTAGTATATTCTGCTCGCTTAGACATTTACAGATAGAGTGTCGAAAATCACGCGAGCGACGTCCTCTGCTTCCCCAACCATGATCGTTCTTTTTATGTTAGACAGGGATAGATGGCTACGTTGTCATAAATCGCAGATTCTCGACAATTGGAATATCAGTGTGGCGGATGATACCATTTTTAGTAAAAACGAAACAGGATAAATATATATTTGCCGAAGGAACCCGATGTATCCAGTGGAAAGTTTCTCATAGTCAATAGCGCAAAGTGAGTCTTTCTAGTATCGCGCATCGACAATTTAATCTGCGTAAATCCACCGGTCCAATTAAATTCATCCGATACGTCTTCTTGGGCCGGTCTAACTGGATTCGTTCCTGGTATTCGCCAACGATCTCTACGCTCGTTCCACGGGGATGTAATTCCGGACAGATCGTTTCATTAATTTAGCGAATCATTGCTTTCGTGCCGCTTCCATACGCAGCAAACCGCCGGGAATTCGAATTTTCATCGTCGGCAGGCTTCGAGAATATATATTTTACTGGTGCGCGTGTGCCTGCACGCAGGACTACCTTGACGCTCGGATCAGGCGTGCTGCAAATGATTTCGTGGCTTTTTCCCCGCTCGCGTGCAACGCTTAAATCGTAACGGACGAAATAGCGCGGTGCATAAAGAAAGGGAATTGAAACGTATCGGGTACGCATGCGAGAATTTATGGTACATATATCTTTTCATTAAGGCGGCATTCGATGAACCCGAGCACGAGGGCGTAACGCTAAGGCAACGATATCGCGCACGAGATACACTTCGTTGCGGACATAGTCACGGTATTACAAGGATTTTATGGTAACGCCGTATTTACGATGCCTCAGTCTTCGCCCGATAATCCTTTGGAAATGCTGAAAATTTATTTTTGCCCCGGCTTTCGCATAAATATTGTCTCCCGGTACAAATTGGTTCGCGCCGCGCTTCCTTTTTCTCGGCCAACCGGCCAGCTACGTGATAAATAATTTTGGGCTTAACGCTTTTATTATTCCGCGCTTATTTACGCAGTCGAGGTGCTACGAAGTTTATAGACTGCGCTACGACGATATTTTTATACCAACTTTTCCTGTCACCTGAACGCATTCGTGATAGATAATTCGTCGAACGTAACGTTAAACGCTTACCACGCGATTTTCCTGCGAGCACCTTTTAATCTCCGAAGGGTGTACTAGCTGCTCGCTCGAATACCTGCGAATACCTGCACATTCGAGATTCGATCGGTAAATAACGCGAGTCTTTTACGCTAAAATACTTTGAAACATCGTAAATTCCATTACCAAGAAGTAATTGCATATTAACCACGGGTACATCGAAAGTGGTACACACCGGTGTACGATGAAGCAGCTCGCAAAGCCGCGATAAAACTTTCAGTAGATTCATCCATTAAGCCCCGTAGCTTCTTTTACATCCCCTATATTTTCTCCGCTTCTTATCGCGCGACTCCGCGAGTCTCTTCGTCTTCTATCCGGCACAAAGAGAACATCATCGACGTACAATACAGCCGCGATAAAGAAAACGCTTGCCGCGATTCGACTCGGCCCGTAACGGGTTAATAATTTCCAAAGACTGTACCACCAGTAAATTTCATTGGCAAAAGGGAAGAGCACGCGGGGTTGCGAATTGCCTCGCTGCACTCGCACGCAGCCGATGTAATTCACGCTCGATGTGCACGCGTGGAGAAGGCAGAAAAGTATCTAGCAATAAACA